GGCGGGGGAGGGGGCCGGGGAGAGGGGTGGTGATTGGGGTGGCGGGGCTGGCCGTTGGTGGTGCCACTGCTGGTGTTGTTGGCGTTGCCTATGCCAATATACTGAGGAAAAGACAAAGGACAGACAGCAATCCAATCAACCCACAATGCGCCCGCGGGATTGGTGCGGTGCGTTGTTGGACTCACTCACTCACTTTGTTTGATTCTTCTATCTGGTCCTTCAGGTCCTGGTCGATCTTGCGCATCTCCTCAAACACGTCAAAGTACATCTGATGCACGTCGATGAGCATCTCGGCGCTCTCAACCGCGTGGCGAGGACCTTCAGACACACACACAAGGAAGGAAGGATGCACAGAGAGAGAATGCCGCGGCTCACTACCTCCTTCCTTGTATGCCCGCCCGCGTGGTACCCTTTATTTCAATGAGCAACCCCGGCTCTTCGCCGTGCTCTTCGTGGCCTCCCTCGTTGTCATGCTCGCCGCCAGACACCTCACCGTCCGGGCAGTTGGGCGCGTCGCTCTCTACATGCCTCTCCCTCTCCCCCTGCCCATCGCTCTCCTTGCTGGTCACCTTCGGGACCTCCTTGGCCACATGTGGGTCGTCAGCTGTCTTGTCGGTGTGCGAGTTGTTGGTGTGTGTGTTGGTGTTGGCGAGTGATGTGTCGACGAGGGGGTAGTCATACACATCAAGAATGGCCGAGGAGAGGGTCGCGATCTCGCGGATGTTCTCGTGCTTCTTGCCCAACGTCCAACCAACCTGAGAACAGACAGACAGACAGATGGGCGCGGGAATGTGTGTGTACGCGTGTGTGCACACGCGTGCACATACCATCTTCTTGGGTATCTCTCGGTGCGTCACGACCATGTCCAATGCGTCTGCAGCATCCTCCACCTGCCACTCACACACACACACACACACACAAGGAAGGACACACAGAGAGAGTGCAACAGAGGTTTACGTTCGTTCGCTCACTCACTCACCGTTTCTTCGGTGAATCCCCTGATGACGACCCGTACGGGCCGTGACGACTCCTCCCTCTGCTTGCGCACCAGATCCTGCCGATCGGCGTCGGAAGCCGCCCGCAACACCTCCCTGCGGCCCTGCGATAGCACCGTCCGCGACTTGTGCGAGGCATCCTGCCCCACCAGCACTGTTACGATCTTCTCGGCCTGGATGCTGCAAGCGAATCAGCCCATTCTCTGATGATGCGTTTGTGGATGGTGTGTATGCTGTGTGTGTTGGGTACCGATGTAGGTTGTTGCCTTGTTTGCCGACAGCCATGCCGACAGTCGCGGCGGGGAGGTAGATCTCCCTGAAACCGATGCGGCAAGAGTGCACATCACATCGGATGTCACGTGCGTCTCTAAGTCGGTCTCGCCGCCTTACTTCTTGAGGGCCCCGTCTTTGCTCCAGACCTCATCACCGTCGAGCGGATCTGCAGGCGCCGGCCCCTGATAACAGACAGACACAAAACGAAGCAAACACCAGACACACAGAGCGAGTGGATGATACCCAAACGATGACGCCACCACACCCTACATGTGTGTGCACCGCACCTGCGCCTTCCCCCCTGCTCCCCACCCTGCCCGCACGGGCAGCCGCATCCGTTCCCAGATTGGTCGGCGGTCACCGTTGCCGATATCTCTTTCCGACTCAGGCTGCCTCTCGTCCGTCCCGTTGGTCACGTCATGGCTCGCACTGGCCGGCGCCTGGGGGTTGACCTCCCGCGGCGCGGCAGGGCTCGCCTCCTCTCTCTCCGGGTCGGCACGCACCGACTGCGCCTGAAGGGGGGATATATAGGATGCACAAATACAATGGGGTGTCGCGTCGCGTCTGTTCTGTTTGTGGCACAACCGCTTCCAGTGTGCTGCATACGCACCTGAGCTGTTATGTGAGGGTCTCCTTTGCTGCTGGCATCGTTGTTGACGTTTTGGTCGGCAGGCGGTGGCCTAGTGGGGAGGTTCACAGTGACTGAAGGGCCGATGGCGGCTGCGGGAGGTGGTGGGTGTGCGTGGTTGGACGGGGATGTGGAGGTGGAGTCGCTGCCCAAGCCCTCGGCGGCCTTCTTGGCCCTTTGCCGCTTCTTGTACTTGTTATGGCGAAGCTCATACTCCTGCCACGGCTCACTCGACATCTTTCCTCTCAGATGTCCGCTCCTCGAAAATCAAATGTTGCCAAGCTCGCAAAAGAGAGTCCCCTTCTCCCGCAAGAGGATTCGCCAAGTTGGATGCTCCTGAATCACCATGAGCCTACAGATCCATCCCACCGTCCAGCGTGGCGATTTGCAGTGATCAATGGACTCATGCATTTCTCAAAGATCGCGGCCAGAATCAGAGCCACTCGCACATGTATGTCGCATTGCATACGATGCCGGCCGTCACCTGTCTCTCTTTACTGACAGCCTCCTCTCCTGCCGCTGTCTGTCTGATAATGCCTTGTCTACACAACTCAACATCAGATCAACATCGGATTTTCGCGCAGCCATACTGTATAACACACAGACAGCATCCAGAAACGGGCATTCAAAGCGGTGCCTGGCTCGCGTGCGTCTGCCTGCCTGCCTGACCTTCCGTCGTTTCCTTCGTCCAGCAAAACAGATTCATTGGAGAAGGCGCTGTCCGGCTCTTTCTCCCCATCCTCCACATCAAATTCATCATCAAGCTGACTCGCAGAGCAGTCTGCGTCCGACTCCGAGCCCTCCTCGTGCCACAAGTCACCACGAGGGCAGTCATCACCATCACCACCATCGGCAACCGGCTGCTCTTCATCGGTGTCTCCCCCATAGCTGGCCCTCTGCGGCGCCCCCCACGAGCAGCAGTTGAACCAGGACGTGGGGGGCGGCTGAGCTGACGAAGCGCTCCCTGATGTACCGGCGGCCGGCGACCCGCTCTCCGATCCAGTCTCGCTGCTGCTCTTGCTGCTGCCGGCTCCGGCGCTGTCCCCTCCTGCCCTTCCGCTTCTGGCCTCTTCTCGCAATTGGGACACGGGCGTGGGATAAGTGACTTCTGGCCAAGAGGGGCGGGCTTTTCTCTCTTCTGGCTGGCCAGTACTTGGCAGACGCAGGAAAGTTACTGAAGACAACTTCTGACCAGTTGCAGGGTGGCTCTTCGATGGTGGCTGCTGAGGGGCTGGTTCGGGGGGGCGCCAAAACGAGCGGGCTGAACTTTGCCTCATGGCCTCGATTGACGCAGGGCGGGGCCCCGATGGTGACCTAGTTGACCTCCTCCTCCCTTTACGGCGAGATACCAAGCTCACTGGCGAGGGGAACTGAGGTGTCGCAGCCGTGTGATCGTCCTCGTGAGCAGGGGCAGGCAGGAACTGAGAGGTAGACTCCAGCTCGTCAGTCTGCTCTTCTCTCTCGGCATGCGGCTCGGGGGGGACTCGCAACGACAGGTTGCTTCCTGAAACCACGAAACGGTTATATGAAGTTTTGCGCCGCCACTTGTTGGAGGGCAAGAAGTCGAAATAAGGGGGAACGTGTACGGCTGCTGCTGCAGCGAGAGCATCGGATGAAGACATGAGGGGCGGAGCGGAGTCGTCCCCATCAACTGCTCTCTCAGTTCTTCTCGACACCATATACTGCTGACGGCGGTACTTGCTGTGGGCTCCTGCATGGATACATACATTGACAGACATGCATTGGCCACGTCTGATCACCTCGGCAGCAAAGCGATTGATGTCTCTGAACGTACCAGGGGGATGTGCCGCTTGACAGGCATGGCAGAATGGGAATGTCTCCACCCAGAAATCCGAATGCACAGCATAGAGCTTCATGAAAGAGCGACACACACGCCGAGACAAGAAACACCTGATAAGGTGAGAGACGCACATTACACCATCCGAGTGCCGCGACACGTACTGTACTGGACCGGCTCGTGTCCCTGTCAGCCCACTTGAGGACGAGGAATAGCGTTTGGATGCGATAGGCTTCCCCGGCCTCTCTGCACAGCTGTGAAAGCTCACGTTGAGCACTAGCCTCTTCCGCATCCACAACCAAATGGCTCGCATGAAACCGCAGCCTGGACAAACGACATCAAGAGGAGAGGAGACGTGTGTGAAAATCGGATCGGTTGGTCCTGTGTCCCACCTGGCGAATGTAGTCCAGAGGAGCCTTCTCTGTTGGAAGGCAAAGACGGTGACAAATCTCGCCAGCACGCTGTCAACAATGCGCGAGTCGTACTCCACATGCAAGGGGTGGTCGACCACACCAGCACTTGGCAGAGGATGGCCCGGGAGCTGCAGAGACCTTTCCGCCCGTCTGCTGCCAAACATTGCCTTAAGTGACTGGACTTCCTCCAGGAGTCGGGCGTTCTCGCCCACAATATGCAATTGCTCCTGTCTTAGTTCGGCCAGCCGCCCCGGTTCAGGCCTTTCCCGGTCTGTCGTGGCGGCAAGGAGGTTGTCGACGACGGTCCTCTTGCTGTCACGATTTGCCCTCAGTTTCTCAAGGGCTTGTCTCAATAGCCTCCTCCCAGCCGACGTCCTCCAGGGCAACGTGACGAAGAGCTGCAAAGCGCGGCCTTTCTGCAGGGTCTTCCAACAAACCTTTCGCGCCTCTGGCAGGGGCAAGAAGCTGCAAAGGAAATGCACAAATGCAGGCCATGCACCAGGTCATGCATTTGTGCATCCTTGGTGCATGTGTGAGCTCACTCCGCAGTCTCGTCGGACAGCAGCTCATTCTCGGCTTGCAGCACATCCCTTTGGCGCTTAAGCGTCGCTGCCTGCTTCTCGAGCCTCCCGATGTAGTCTTTGGAGCGCTCCAAAGTGCCACTCATGTCAGCCAGCGATGCTCTCAGCGCCCCGAGTTTCTTCTTGAGCTCACCATTTTCCTTCTCCCGTTGGGTGCAGGCCAAGCACTGCTGGCTCCTCCTCGAGACGCCGGTTTTCTCGGCCGCAGCTGCTATCGACACATGGGCGATATCATGCCCCTCCTTGGGCGGGGCAGCCGGCGGGGCCTTGTCTAGGGCCTTGTCAGCGCTGCTGGGCCTCTCAGCAGGCGGAGAGCCGACAGCTTCTCCTCCCTCCTCTCTCTTTGCAGCTTCTGCGGTCTTCGCCGACCGTCTCTTCTTCTTTTGGAACATTGCAGATCTATGAAAAGCCAGGGGCTTTTCATATCAGTAGCTATAGCTAGGAAGAAAATCGCTTACAAAGCTCGCAAAAAAAGGGAGGAAGATCGAACGCAGAGATACCGCATAAAAAGACAGCATACAGACCCCTCCTACAGCACCATCGGCAGCCCGAGGACTGAAATATCTCATGCAGACCACCTCTGCCAACCGTCACTCCCTTAATTCGTTCCTCTTTCCTTCCTTCCTATTCCTTCCTGCTCCCCTGTCTTCCTTTTCGCCTTCCCCGCAGCAGACCCACTCGGTTAGTGCTGATGGATGGGCTGGAATATGTAGATATCATTTTTCATGAAGCTGGCGTGGGTTAATTGGAGAGACGAGTCAACAGTTCTTGCCCTGGTTTTAGCCCTTGTTGTTGAACGAGTGCTTCATTCAAATCACCAACTAACCTGTGCCTGTCTTCTCTCCACCATTCTTCGATCGGATGCATTTTGGCCGTGATGTAAAGAAAGGAATTACATACAGCGCTTTGAATCACACCTAACATGCCTATGTCTCAAAATCCCTAAAAGCCCAACGGCCCCAGAATCACACAGCGAGTTGGAAGAGTCAGAAGAAGCCAGCAAACTGTGGGTCATTCAGTACGAGGCGCTGCATGTAGTTGGAGAGCAGCCGCAGCATTCGCTTGAGGATCTCCTGATGCCGCGGGATGCTGGGGTCGAAGCCACCCAGCTGCATCTGCACAAACTGAGACTGACGCTGCTGCACTCGTCAATACAGCCAGACAGACAGACGGACAGACGGACAGACAGACAGAGACACAGCGATCAACCGTCGGGGTGGGAGGGGGTTTATTTACCTTGATGGTGAATTGCAGCACGGCGATGACTTTGTGCTGTGTTTCAGGCGAGAGAAAGACGGGATAGCTGTGCGTCACCGCACCGTCCAGATGCAAGTCAACCAACCCTGATCGACGAGCCCATGCATCCGACACACATACATACACACCATATGTGTGACGCGTCTCTCGCGTACGGCTGAATGCGGGGTCCTCTTTCGCGTTGACAGCCGTGCTGGGCAGCCGGGTTGCCGCACACTGAGCAACCAAACCTACAGGCACACAAACAAGCACAGATAGAGACAAAAAGACATACCAGTTCAGAAGGACAAGGCCATCTGCTCATGTATGTGTCACCCACCACAAAGAGGTTTTGGCTCGACCAGCAGCCCAGAGCCGCGGCGCCGGTCGGGCTCGGCGGCAGATGGGCAGAACGGCTCCTCTTCCTCCTTTTGCGCTCGGTGGCACCTCTGCAGGCTTTTCTTGCCGATGAGGCAGAGCTGACAGTCAGCCACTTTGAAGATAGTGTCCATCCAGTAATGGATCGCGTTAAGAATATCCGGCAAAGCGTAACAATTGCGGCTGTAGGCCAGTCCAGGCACGAAAGAAAGAGAACAAAGAGGCCGGGCCGCGTGAGTGCCGAAGTGCGGCCATTCGCACGACGTACCTCATCTCATCAGCCATGTTGAACAGCATCTCCTTCCTCATGATAAGCCACTCAGCCGCCGCAGACCGCTAGACACACGAAAAGAAAACACAGTCCTTCATTCCGTCCTGTGTTATTGTCGACATGCCGACCTACCTGGCAGTTGAAGACAGCGTTCGTAGCCACAGGGGCGAAGAACGAAAGAAGAAATATGTCCTCCTCCGTGAATGGACCTGCGAAGCCAACGAGACACAACAGACGCGGAAGTCTCCCACTTGCTTTGCTCTTCGCCACCACACACGGACCCACCGGCGAATTTGTTGATGCACTGAATGATGGCCACCACCTGAGTGCTCGTCATCGACTGCTGTGTCATGCTCCTGTCGAAGGCCCCGCTGCCTGCGCGCTGTATGTGCGCAGGTGGCACGGATGGCGCGTCTTTGATACGCACGATGGGCAGACACAGCACGCTGCGAGTCCGATAGCCAGTCTGCAGATCGACAGTGCGGTTGAACCGCTCGTCCTCGTAGGCATCTGGGACGTTGACGGCCTCGCCGCTTTCGTAGGCCACGCCGGCGAGGCCGACGCCCAGAGGGATGCGCAGCTCAGAGCCAACGAGGCCCGTCGAGAACTTGAGGGTCCACATGTCGCCGTTCTCCTCGTCGACCATCCAGACTGTCACTCGGTCGCATTGCAGTGCCTTACGGATCTCCTGGAGACAGTGAGTGGATTAGGGAGACATTGTGTAGGACATGATTGTGCGCAAGGACGGACCTTGATGATTGCCGCGAAGGCTAGGTTGATGTCTGTGATCTGCAGGACTCTGTCCAGCCCATCGACCATCGACCGGAGGAGACCGTCCCGCGTCACATATGCGTACCAGTCGATACACAAACCCTGAGTGAGACACACACAAAGCTTGCAGTCAAGGAGTGCCAGCCAACTCATCACAGACTGACTAGCCAGAGCGTCTTTGTGCGATCAGTGGGCCGACCGCTATGGCAGCTCTCTGCTGCTTGATGGACAGCTCGTCCAGAAACCTTGTCCGCAGATAACCGCCGCCAGCATAGAGAAAATTCAAAAAGTCTACATGGGTGAGAATCAAGAGAGAAGTACGTAGATGCAGGCCGCCGTCGGGGTGCTCGCTGTGTGTACGGTACGGACAGTATCCACGGCCTTACCTCTCTGGATGCCGTGTATTCCTGGAGCAATGGGCTCATATCCCCGGAACTCGGAGTGCTTGGATGACGAGTGGCGCAGGGCGGAGGTCAGAGCCCGCCGGGCGGTGGGGCTTGACACGCCCCCCCCGGACGTCGCACCCTCCTGCATGATAAAGGACCAACCGACTGACAACACCCTTCATGGTGACACTCCCTAGGGGACGGATGGACCTTTTTGTCACCTTGATTGTATTAGCCATCTTTTTCATCTCGAACTGCATGGATTGGATTTTGGCCTCCAGCATGGCGCGGCTCTTGGCCTGCACGAGACAAAGACGAGGCACCCTTTGTCTTAAGAGCGTGAGTGTGCGTCGATCGACGGTTGATTGATTGAAACCGACCATGAGACGGACATTCGATGAGAGAACCTGGAATACGGCGACATGCACCAACGAAATGCAGGTAGGCATCGCTGTGATCGACTTCTCTTTCTGTTACTCGACTGACTGACCGAGTTTTGTCTCAAGATGTACAGGAGCGCCACGCGCATCTTCCTGCGCAGGCAGATGAGTGTGGATGCGCTCACACACCTCCCTCCCTCCCTGTTTACCTGAACACATCGAGGTTGTTCTGCGGCAGCCTTTCACCAGGCAGGCACACATTGCTCACACCCAGAACCGATGAAGTGCCTGCAAGATAACATACACACAGACACACACACAGACACACAGACACACACACACACAAAGCAAAGAGAATCGACAGTTTTTCCTTTGTGTCTCTCAACGGCTTTTCGTTCCCAACTGTGCAGTGGTGGCCTCGGCTGCACAGACGTGGATGGAAGGGTGAGTGGCGTGTCAAGCTTGGTCACGTGGTCAATGCATTGGTGGAGTAAATCCAGCTGTCGTATTGATGAGCAGACAGACAAAAAGAGCCGCATATTCAGCTGAGCGTGGACACAGGGCGTGGATACCTACCTGCTTCTTCATCCGGTCGTTCTTGAAACGCTCCGCGTTCCTGACATGGCCATCAAACCACACCATGTTAAATGGTATATGGTCCGTCAATCCATCCATCCATCCATCCATCTGCAATGGGTAGATGTATCGAATCGACGCTCACCGCTTGGACAGCTCGACCACACTACTACTCGCGTAGCTGCGAAGCGCGGTCTGCGTCAGGTCAGACACAAGGTATGCAGACAGAATGACTCTACCATAGACAGTGCAGGCCTAGGCAGGCTTACGTACTGTTTTCGCCGTGTTCTCAGATTTCTCGCGGGTGAGCTCACGCATCAGGTCCTCAAGTTGCTGCAGCCAAGCCGACATAGAGAGACGCGTGTGTGTCTCACTCATGGGCAGCCGAAGCGTCGGACCAGCAGATGGTCGCTCATCTCCTGCCTCTGTTTGGCGATGATCAGCTTGCACCGAAACAGCTCGACGGCCTCGGCGGCCGACTCCTGGACGCACATAATCGATCAACAGATCAACATGCAGAGAGATCAACAGTGCCTTTTCCTTGCCTGTCCGCCAACAAACTTGCCTCGATTGAGTCGGCAATCTTCGCCAGCAGCATCCTCATGGTGGCGTCTCGCCCTGCCTTGCCGGTGAAATCCCGCGGCAGCTCGAAGGCACGGAGCAGCGCCACAGCATGGTCCGTCTGCTTCTTCTGCTTGGCCAGCACCGACTGGAGGTACGCAATCTGATCCACAGGGTCCATGTCCTCCTCGCTGTCTGTGGGAGTGTAAACGGGCCCTCCCTCAGCTGCAGCTGCCTCTTCGCGCTGTCGAAAAGGCTTAGGGAAGAAGGGTGAATCATCTGAGGCCGGTGAGTCCATGCTACTCGAGTCCATGTCGACGCTCATGCGGACAGAGTGTCTTTCCTTCGACGCCATGGCTCCTTCACACACGGGGGGAGGGCACACACGCAGACGGGAAAAGAAGAGGGAGGAGAAGAGGGGAGGGGAGGGGAAAGGGGAGACTGCCGAGACTCGCCCCCAAGGAAACGGCCAAAATTGGAAACGGCGCCCCCACGTGATCGTCTCGCGGAGAGCCAAGGAAGGTAGGCTCCCCGATACATATGGCACATTCGGCCATCGATTCATTTGCCATGGTTTATTGAACTTCACGTGTACTGCAGGAGGGACTCCAACTGGGAGTTGGTCCTGTAGCTGGCGAAGTAGCTGGCAGGGGCGTCGCAGGCGGCCCTTTGGCGGATTTTGTCGGAGGTCCGCTGGGATTGAGAGGTTTTGTTGGTCCTTCTCCACTTCGAGTAAGGAAATACATCTTGATCTCGGCAGGGCTGCAGACGCATATGAACTTGGCGGCGTCGCGTTGTCGCAGTTGGGAAGGAAAAAGCCCTCTGACCCCATCCATCCACTGAGCAGTCCACATAATGGCCACAAGTGAGCAACACGGAAAAGGGAGCATCCTCTGCCTCCATCCACTGTTTTCTTCCCCCATCCTTCAGCTGCGGCGGTTCGTCCTCAGTCCGCGGCTCCCTCGGACCATCGCGATAGGCGTGCACAGAATGGACAGCAGGATACAGGCAAGGCCTGAGAGAGAGAAGGAGACGACCCATGCGATTCCATCGCCCATTTTTGCCATCCATCCATTCATTCAGGTTCGCTCCGTGCTGCTCATGCGTCGAATGCGGAGGCGCTGAGCCAGGCAGTGGAGAACTGTACCGTGCTGCGGCTGCAGGTGGGTGGGGGCGCACACGACACACATCTGGAAGAGTGGGTGAAGTGCATCAGCCAGCCAGCCATCCGTTCTCTTTTGATATCTTGTGGATGTGTGTAATGTATGCCTCAGAATTTGTTTGGCGACGCATCGGACGAGCACGAGCAGGCGTGCGTGTTGGCGACGGTGCGGCTGCTGCAGGCCTACTCCACAGACTCCCTCATCGAACGGCTCGACGTACGCACAGACCGACACACACACATCCAGCTGCACCTCACGAACGCGTGTGTGGTGTGTCAGGCGTCGTCATATGGTGAGTTGGGTGCCGCTCTGCAGGAGGGCGGGGGGGATATCGCTACCCGCCTCGTAGTGACCATGCGCACACTAGCCGACAACATCGACTCGCGACGGTCAGTGGGAGGGAAGAGGGGACATCCTGCACAGCTTCCCAGACGCACACGAAAGCCACTCTTTCCTTGCCTGGTGTCATGGCCGCAGCATCCCCGAGAGTGCATGGTCGGCCGTAGATACCTACCTGGGGGGCCATAGCCGCGATGTCTTCCCCGAGGACACCGCCGCACACAGTCTGCACACGTTCCTCGCTGCCGGACACGCATACTTCGGGGTGAGTGAATACCTGACTGACTAAAGTACATGTGTGTGTGTGATGCTGTGGTTGGTGTCCTCCCCATCATCCCTCTCTGCATTCAGAGTCGCCAGGCGATCACCCAGCTGCCCCCAACTGACGAAGTGACGAAGCGGCCCTCCACGGGCACTGGCGCCCGCACCACTGAGCGGTACACACAGAGAGACGCCAAGCCCTAAACCCTATCACAACACGTCGACACACGTCTTCTCTTTTGCCTCCTTCAGCGGCCATCGTGGCCGTGCTTCCGTGGGTGCTGCCCGTGTCCGTGCTGCTGAGTCGGAGAACAACCCGCCGGCGGGTGGCACGGGCCGGTTTCGTGTGGACGAGGGTCGGCTGTCGTCGCTGCACGCCCGGCCTTCCCAGCCCATTACGTCGGCCCGCCTGCGTGCCATGATCGGCACCCGTGGCGTCAGCACGCAGCCCTGGCGCTGGGGGGAGCACAAGCAGAGCGGCCGGGAGGGACAGGCCAACGCACAGACACTGGAGGTCCGCCAGTGTGCGTGATGACGGCAGCAGAAGGGGCAGCAAGAATGTGTTGGCCGGGTGCGTTGGCTGTGTATTGCAGGAGTGGCGTCAGAAGTTGGATGAGACCAAGAAGGAGATCCGTGAGTTGCGTGCGCAGGAGTCCGCCATGAAGTCAGCGCAACCACTCACACACAGCACCCTATGATAGATGCACTGACGTCTCTCCCTCCCTCCCTCCCTCCCTCCCCTTCCCTCCCTCCCCTCTGTAGGTGGGAGATGGATCGTGAGGAGAAGAGGGCGAAGCAGGAGGAGGAGGTCGAACGAGACCGCGAAATCATGAACGTAAGGCAGAGACGGCCACCAACATGCACACATCCATGCCATAACGTGCCGCGACCCCATCCACTCTCTCTCTCTCTCTCTCTCTGCCTCTGTGTGTGTGTGTGTGTGTGTGCGTGTCTGTCTGTTCCCTCCATCGTCAGTGGCGTGTGAAGGAGCGGACGGAGATGACTAAGTTTGTGAAGGAGTCCTTCAGGGAGCGCCAGAAACGCGAACTGGACGAACGGAAGGAATATGTGGTCAGTTAGCACACACATACGCACACCAATGATGTGGCCCACACGCGGACGGACACCAATGGCCAGATGGACGCCTGTGTTTCTGTATTGCTGTGTGTGTGTGTGTGTGTAGGAGTTTTTGCGTTGGGCCAAGCAGCTGCACTCGGAGAACCTGAAGAAGGTGTGGAGCGAGATGTACGCCTTCGACAAGCAGTTCGCCCTCTGGCAAGACGAACTGGGCAAACAGTACATCCAGACTCGCAAGGACATCATAGAGGTAGGTATGCCAGCCAGCCAGCCAGCCACTCACTCCATCACACATATCACATATCCTCCCTTCGTCTCTCACGTGACTGACATATATATGTGCTGGATGGATGGATGCAGCGCCACAAGCAGCACTGGGACGAGCAGCGCGAGAACAAGAGGTTCGAGGCCATGCGCGAAAAGGTAGATGTGATGGCGCACACACAGAAGGGGAGAGACCGTCGGTAGCAATTGTGTGTGTGTGTGTGTAGATGATGCGCGAAGAGGAGGCGCAGTGGCGTATGGAGTTGGAGATGGAGCACAAGTACCTCGAGCTCATCAAGCAGCGCGAGCAGATGAAGCAGAAGGTCAACGCCATACGCGACAAACGACACGCGCCGCTCCGCAAACCCAAATGATGATCAAATGAATACACCAACCAACCAACACGACACGATACGATACGATACATACGATGTCATGATCCATAGCGTAGCGCACGACCTACATACCTTCGTAGATAGACCATTGCGTACGCGGGGATGGATGGACTGACAAGAGAAACACACATCAACGGTCGATTCAACGGCAACTGATCGCGCGACTTGGCCAAGTCTTTCAGCTTCCTAGTGCCGAAGTGAGGTCGTCGGGGCGCCCTTCTCTCCCTGGTGTCTGTGATCTCTCCCCCTATCTCTCCCAGGTGTGGTCCTAGAGGGCTTGCATCCCACCAATCACATCAAGATGGCAGTCCTTCTCAGCGACGTGTGGCCCTTCGTGCCCTTCCGCGTCCTGGACGAGCCGTCCCAACACGGCTACTCCACCTCCCTGCTCTCATGGCTCATCACGACATCCATCAAGCTGCTGCTGTGGACCGTTCTATGCTATGTCATCTTCTTCACGGCCTCCATCGCCATCCGCTTCGCCCGCGCGATGCGCAAGAGATGGAGATACGACCACATCGAGGCGAGAATGAGGACGTTCTATGGGATCAACAGGATGGACATGCTGTGGCCGGGACGCGGGATGGAAGTGTAAGTCGCGAGCACTGGCATCACACGGGAGCATGCGGATGACGGGTGCTGCGTGTGCGGTTGTTTCGCTAGGATGTGGCGGAACGTGCAGGAGGCGTGCAAAGATGGGCACCCCAAGATGCTCTACAATGGCATATCCCTCACTGGAGAGTGAGCCACACACACACACAGACAGGGGGAGAGAGAGAGAGAGAGATCCATACACACACGTACACGTATGCCAACTCTTTCATCGGCCGTGTTGTCTGTCTGTCGCTTCGTGTCTGTCTGTCAGCCACCAGGTCCTCTTGCTGTCACCTGAGGCGATCAAGGTCGTCATGACTCGGGACGGCATCGAGTTCGGCAAGCCGCCCTCCTTCTCGCGAATGGTGGATAAAATCATCGGCAAGGGGCTCGTCACGTCTGAGGGTGAGTAAGCGATCGACACGACACCCACACAGAATCACACACATCCACGTGACCGATTGATTGCACGGCAGGTGATTTGTGGCGGCGGGAGAGGAAGCTGCTCAATCCAATGTTCCACTTCCAGAACCTGAAGGACGTGGCACTGCCCGCCACAGTCCACCAGGTGCACGAGACCATCTCACTCATTGACCAGAACCGTGCTGCCAACGCCGCGACGACGAAGAAAGCCGATAAACTGCCGGACGGTCAGCTGCACGCACAGATGGACCTACGTGTGACGGGTGGATGGATGGATGGATGGATCCAGATGTGACTTTTGATCCCCGTGACGGCTCATACAACCCCGCCAACCTGTTCGGCAGGATGGCGCTCATGGTGGTGATAGAGGCCCTCTTCTCCAAGGGCATTGATGGCGACTGGTTCCACGAGAAATGGTCGTCAGTCATTGGAAAGAACGCCTCGTACAACATCGGCAAACTGCTCATCGGATCGGTAAGGCCTGCATGGATTGAATGGGAACGGAGGGAAGGAAGGTCGCCAGGTGTTTCTGGCTGCCTGCAGGCCATGGACTATCTGCCTCTGCCGCCCACTCGCCGTCTGCTTGGCACCATGGAAGCGTTGCGCAAGGAGATCCGTGCGCTCATCCGCCTCAGAAGGGCCCAGCTGGCGCACGGCGAGCTGATCACGACGGACAGATGTGACGTCATCACCGCTATGGTCAAGGTCAGGGAATGAACAGATGATGAACCTTTTGGATATGGCGATGTGGAATGTCAGGCCGTGGATGAGACGACCGGCGAGGGCATCGAGGACGAGCAGATCGTGGACGAGGCTCTCACCTTTTTGATAGCGGGCCACGAGACCACGTCCAACCTCCTCTCCTGGTCCATCTTCTTCATCGGGCAGCCGCAGTACCACTGGATACAGCATGAGGTCCGCAAGGAAGTCCAGCAAGTGCTCGGCGTAAGCAACACACAGCACAGCAACAAAGACGATGTGACCATCATCCATCCATCCATCCATTGACGTCATCTGCTGGGTTGTGTGTGTTGGTGTGTTGTGTGTTTGTAATTCAGGAGGCCGACCCGACGCCCGAGACGTACAAGCACCTGGCGTACACGCATCAGGTCATCAAGGAGACCCTCCGCATCCGGCCTGCTGCGTCGCAAATCAACCGTATAACCCTCAAGTACACACCGATCGCAGAAAACACTCACACACAAAGACATGGACGGACGAGCAACACACCACTCACTTTCCATTTTGCTTATCGTCCACCTACAGAGATGTCGAGATTGATGGAGTGCTCATTCCGAAGGGCACTGTGGTGACGCCTCTCATGCTGGCCACACACAACAATCCGGCCATCTGGCCCGAGCCCGCCAAGTTCGACCCCCAGCGATTCACTGTGGATAGCAGCGGTGGCGAGGGCAAGCGACATCCTTTTGCCTACGTTCCTTTCTCTCATGGGCCTCGCAACTGTATTGGGCAGGTCAGTCAGGAGACACACACACACAGCACAGAGGGATGGGGCCCGCACTGGCCACTGCGTGTGTGTCTGCCTGTGTGTGTCGTGGGTGTGGTGCAGAGGTTTGCACAGCAGGAGGCCGTGGTGGCGCTGGCCATGCTGCTGCGCCGGTTTGACATCTCGACCAACGACCCGTCGAAAGTGCGGATGGGTACGCACCTGCCAACACGCAGCGAAATGACATTTAAACAGGACGCATTCGTTGGTGGGGATGCTGTGTGGTGTGCAGGCACCGGAGGCATCCTGCGGCCGAAGGGTCTTCGTGTTTGGCTCACGCCGCGTGCAGAGGGCAAGAAGGACATCTAGCCCAGCCAAGAGATAGATGGCACAGCACTGGCCCCACCTTATTTTTGGGTCGGCCCCCCCATGGGCCATGGAGGATGCAACGCGTTGATGTGTCAGTCGTGTCAGTCATGTGAGTGAAAGTGCGCAGTTTTTTGTTTGTTCAAGGCCAGCTGTGCTCTGTATGTCTGTCTGTCTCGTGGAATCGAGGCAAGTAGTTTAACTGACGTGTCACTCACAAGTGAATTTTCGTCTGGCTCTTTTTGTTTCAAGTCTGTCTGTCTGTCGGGGTCGGTCGACAGCAGTGTGTGCATGGGGCAGATCGTCAGACCTCAATGAAATACATGACACGTGGCCCCAGAAATTAGTGAACCCACAAGTGCACGATGACCCACACTCCCACTTCCCCATCTCTGCCTCATATATATCAGTCATTGTGCGACCTCCTCCGCCTGCCTGCCCGCTTGTGTCTCTTCGGCTTCTTCACCCCTCCCACATGCGACGATCTGTCCCTCTCGGGTGACACAGACCTCGACAAAGACCTCTTCTGCCTCGGCTGACGGTCCTCTTCCCCATCGCCATACCTGTCGCCCTCGACTGGCATCGGGTGGGGGGCCCTCATGGCCATCTCGCGCTCCTTCCTCTCCCTTTTGCGTCGCTTCCGCTTCGACTCATGTCTGTCTCTGTCACCACTCCCCGCCATATAGAGGTCGTCACCGCCGCCACTGCTGCCCGATGATAATGCGTTATGCTGGGCAGGGGGCGGTGACAAGGAGGGGGGGACATCGAAGCGCCTGCGGCGGGAAGAGGTCGGCGGGGCCTGGGGGGCAGGTTGTTGACCCTTTGTTGCCAGGAGCTCTCGGGCACGGCGCCTGCACACACACAGGGGTATATGCACGTGGATAGCCAGACAGGTGCAGTCAGACTAAGTCACCTTCTCTCGTCCTGCAGTGCCGCGAGCCCTGCAGCCCCCGTAACGTCTCCCCCTCCTCGTTCTCTCTTGTCTGCCTCATCGCTGTCCGAGTCACCGTACTCTGACAACAGCCCACCCAGGCTGATGGCAGCAGCGCTCTTGCCACCCTTCGCAGCACCAGCAGCAGCAGAAGGCTGTATCGATGCCGGCTGGTCTTTCTTGACAGTGGCTGGCAGTGTGTAGTAAGGGTGGCCCTTGATGTGGTCGCGCCACTTGGGTGGGAGCATGTGGGTGTGGCTCACGGCCATCGACTGGCCCGATTGCTTCAGACAGACGTAGTAGGGGTGCAGAGGGTGCTCCTGATATTATTGGAGTGGAAACACACGCACACACGAATGAGATGACGTGGGACGGGCAAAACAAACACACAACGCGTTCTTACCACGTCGAGGAATGGCAGCTTCGCGGCGATGTCTGGCCTCAGCTTGAGCTGGAACTCCATCCGATCGCCCTCCTGACAGACACCATGCGGGCCCACAACACCAATCAGGCCAATCAAAACACAATCGCTCATCGGCCTGTGGGCGCCCACCTTCCTGACGAAGTGTGCAGTGTGCTCAATGATCAGGTGCTCCTTCTTGGTCGCAGGCATCACACGCACACCCCCATCGACAGCAAATGGAGGACAGAATCCTCCGCCCGACGCCTGTGCCTCGCCTTCCGTGTGGTCCATCATGGCAGCATCACCACTGGTGTCCTTGTCTGTCGTTGTCTGACCGTAGTCCAAAGGCACTGCGCTGAAGTCCTGTGCCGACGACGACGCCCCCAATGGTGGGCTCGGTATGAGGGCGTCACTGTCAGGAAGATCCTGCAGAAAGGATGAGCAGATAAAGATGGACCGGACCATTCATAAATCAAGGTGAGTGGATGCCTTTCCGTGCCTGGCCTGGTCTGTTCCGTCCTTGCTTGCCTTGTATCGTTCGTGGTCGATGTCGTGGAGTGTTTCGTCGGGGTTAAGCTGCCGCATCAGCGCAGTACGCTCCTCAGCCTCCGTCATTGCAGGACGCTCAAACACCGACCGGTCATCAACCAACAGACGGACGTCATACCTGCACACAAACAATATTTGTCATGTGGACCGGGTGCTTCTGCGTACCTGTCAACAGTGACAGGGTCATCGGCCTGGTCTATCGAGATGAGGCGTCCCTCGATGTCGAGTGCAGCATCGTCGTCACGGAAGATCTTGGAGGCGTAGCCGAAGCATTCGATGGTGGGCTCTGCTCCCTTGGCATCTCGAGCGTCCATCAATACGTCCATCAACTGTGCTCTCACACAACACAAACGCATTGATGCGTCCGTTGGTCCGCAGTGAGTGCTCACTTACCGGCTGTACGGCGCGTGTCACGATCGGGTGCTTCAGCATGCCTCTGTTCGCTTTGCAGTCCGGGCCCAACACTTGCGAGCTCAGAGCGAGCAGTTTCACAAAATGTCCTAGGAGAAAGAGAGTCGAAAGAGGCCCGCGAAGAGAGGAGGGAGGAGCGCATTCCCTTAAAGCCGTGATAGCGTCATGGATCTGGCACCTTATCCAGCCAGATCCGCCGGGCTGGCTGACGCGGGTGAGTGAAGAAATGCAGACCAGCGAGTCATAGCAGCACCTACACGGTCTACGTATGTGTATGTGTATGTGTTTGTCTGCTTCCTTCCTTCAGCCAAGAAAGCTCTCGTTGACCTCAGGTGGCCGGAGAACCAGTCAGTTGAGAGCGTGACTGACCCAACCACGCGGCATTTTCTCGTTGTGAGGCTCAAAGACGTTCCACCGGGATGGTAAGCCAAGCCGCCACCAGAGAGAAAGATGCATCCACACAACTGTTGGACACCCCCTCTCTGGGACGTATCAGGTCCATGAGTGTTCTGCTGCAGCGTCTGCAGCAGTCCTTTCTGGACATTACCAAGGCACGCCCCAGCAAGCGGCCGCCCGTCTTCGCTTCCATCCACGCAAAGGCCGTGGCCGGTTGCGACGAGGTGGACGTTTTCATGGGCTGCTACGACGCCTTCTCAAAGCACAGGATGCTGCTCGGTACGACAGACTCATGGCGCTTATGAGCGTTGCTCTCCTCTTCGTATGGTGCGCAGAGGCCAATCTTACGGTGACTGAGGATGACGGCGGCATCACGTTTGTCGATGTGGAGGACGTCGACGCTCAGCCAGCCGCTGACCGGGGCGATAATCTGCCGCAACAGTAATGATATGCAATGAGGGCACGAACAAACGAACGAACGAACGAACGAACGAAGGCCATGGTGATGTTGTCTTGTGATCGATGCTGCCCTGCAGGCTGCCGGGGTCTTGGAGAGACTTTGAGGCAGAGGAGCTAATCACCCGTCAGCAGGGGCAGCGCGACTCCAGCCAGCCGACATTCGTCATTGTCACCAAACCAAGAAAATGGTAGCTGGTGCCTGCCACTACCTGACCAACGAACCAGGCACGCGAGCGGCCTTCTCTCTTGTGTGTTGTCCTCACGGCCTGCTCTTCTCTCAGGACAGCGGATCTCATCCGTCGGGCGATGATGGAGTCGCTGCCGCTGCCCCCCAATTCGCCCACTCTGTACATCCACGCCCCCGCAGACAGCACCGTAGCCGCCATCGGCTGTGAAGACCCGACCATCCCGGAGCGCCTTGTGAGGCAGCGGGCCGTGTACCATCTCGACAGTCTCGACGGCGCCATGACGCAGCCGCTGCAGGAGGTTGCCAGTGCCCAGCAGGGGGGCGTGTCTGTGACGCTTCTTGGGAAGGACAGCCGGCACCACGTGTTGGCATTTTCCTTGTGGACGGCCGCCTGCCAACACGTGGACGAGTGGCAGCCGCCCACACTCGACGAATTGTGAGCAGAAAGCGGCGGACAACACTCGTGAGCTGGGTGTGTGGGTGATCTGATCCCTGTTTGCCTTTTGCAGGCGCAAGTCCCCCCTCGGTCCGCCCCGTACGCCATCCCCCACCATCAACGGCGGGACACCTTCACCGCCACCCAACACCGACAGCAACAGGGGAGTCGCCCTCGGGCTGTTCGGTGGCCTGCGCCCAAACAAATCATACTACCCGCCGCTCCCGCCCTCGCCCCAATCGGAGCACAAGACGGCGCGGGAGCACCACCTGGATGACTACCTGGTGATAGAGGCCGTCAGGAAAGAACTCAAGAGTGCGCTGGCCCGGAGGCAGGAGTACGAGCGGCGGACAGCCGTCGATGTGGTGTCCGTGTGGAAGCGGCTGAGCGTTGTCAAGAGGGAGGAACACCGGCTGCCGATTGCTTCGGTTTTCGTCACGCGATACTGCCACGACATGTTTGACGGCACGGCAGGCAGGCCGTCGATGCCCTTCCCCCACCCCTACTCCCCCATATCCCTGCGCGTGAGCGACCAGCCGCCCGCAGACCCCTCTCTCAGCCCTTCCTCCGTCCCTCTCAAGGCGCTCTTCCCCCACCTGGACCGAGTGCAGCTGAAAGAGCTTCTGAACGCCAAGATCATCCACGTGCTGCGCGCATGGCCGAAAGGCGACATATCCTTCAGCACGCTCAAGCAGCTGTGCGGCTGCTCCGACATGGCCCCGGCCGACTTCGCCGCGCGTGTGCGTCAGCTGCCGAATGTCGTGGATGCGGCGAATGCAGCTCGCATGGCTGGGGGGGGCGGCGTGCGTTTGTCGACCAGCGATGGGGACACTTCGGCGTATGTGCAGCTGTGCAACCAGCGGCGCATCAAGGTGGTGGAGGGGCTGTGCGCGTGTCTGAGGGAGGGTAGCGGTGCTGTGGAGCGGTGTGTGCTGTATGACGAGCAGCTGCAGCCGGTGCTGGTGCCGTGTGTCGGCGTGGAGGCGCTGGGGGCGGGGTGGGATGAGGGTGAGGCTGGCTCGGACAGGGAAGGCGGGAGGGACATGCTGGCGTCACTGCTGCACTTCCTCCACCTCTTCCCCTTTGTCTTTGACGTCCTGCCGGCAAAGGCACTCTTCAGCAAGAAGGTACCCCGGTGGTCAAACACCCCCACGTTGGCCGTCCATCCATCGTTGTGGTTGCTTGTCCGTGTCAGTCGACGAGCACCGGTCTGTTTGTGACCTTCCAGCGTCCCTTTCTGAGTCATCCGCATCACGGCTTGTCGCCAATGCCGGCCTTGGTCCTCAACGCACTCTTGGAGCTCAGGGCACAGCCACTGGGCCGTGCACCAGGCCTGCAGCCACTCACCACTGCCACACGTGAGAAAAAGAGAAGGCTGATAGATGGATGGATGGATGTTGTGTGCGATTGTTCTCTTTCATCGCTGCCTGTTGGTGTGACGACTCGTTCGTTCAGCCGCTCGTGCTGCCGCGGCGCCCAGACCGACCAGCCCCAAGGCCAAAGCGCCGCTCCCACCCCCAAAGGCAACGGCCAAACCCAAAGCAGCACCACCAGGCACGATACACACACACGTTCATCTCATCCATACGTGTGCCTTTCGTCCCTGCTCATTTGTGCGTACGTGGACACTTGTTGCGTTGCAGCTGCTGCCAAGGCGCCTGCTCGTCCTCCTGCTGCTGGTGCTGGTGCTGCTGCTGCTGCTGCTGCTGCTTGTGGTGCTGCTTGTGGTGGTGTGGGTGCTGCCCACGTGGCTGCATTAGTGGCTATAAAGCGAGAGCGAGAGCCGCACCAGCAAGACGCGGATGGACCGGCGGCGAGGGAAGCCGGTGCGGACGGTGCCAACACGGGGAGGGCGGCCAAACGGGCGAGGACTGACGAAGGGGTGGTTGAGAGATCTCTCAATGTGAGCCGGATAGATAGGACATGAAGCCACTCCACTCATTGCATTGCATGCATATGGATTTGGGTATGTGCGGCTGTACATGTTTGAAATAATGCATCGGACAGGAGTTTCGCGCTTTCCTTGAGGAGCGTATGGACGACTGTACACAGTCGAGTCTCAAGATCGTCAGAGAACTCAAGCAGCACAGAGGACTGAGGGCGGAGCTAGAACGCCTAAGGGCTAAGTGAGTGAATGAGCGACCAACACACACACACACACTCAAGAGGTGTCCCATCTCTCTCTCTCTCTGTCCTGTGCACCTCATTGGTCAGACTGCAATGCAGCGGCATGATCAGCACAGCCGACGGCAAGGTCCGATGCAGAAACGAGGTGTGTGAGTGGGCAAACACCCAGAACAGACGCCGACACAAGATATGACACAACACACTGACTGCAGAACATGCTTCCTTCCACAGATAGACCACGCCACACTCTCTCCTTATCTATCCGTCTGTCTGTCTGGTCATTGGTGCATGCAGTACACGGTGTTCATCACCCCGTGTCACCACCTGTTCTGCTCGCGGTGCGCCAACCTCTGCATCTCCATCAAACGATGCGACGCATGTGGCGGACCTGCATGCACTTTCGAGGTAGGTACGCACGGCAGACAGACAGACAGACAGACAGCCAAGACACACGGCAAACCGACGCACCTCCCTCTCGGTGTCCGTGATGTGATCGTGATTGTGTGTGTGTCATTCATTCAGCACTTGCCCTTCCCCCCGCCGCCTCACCCTCCCCCCTCCCTGGCATCCCCCACGGATCCACAGCACACAGCCACATTGCCGTCACCGCCCATGGCGGCCGCAGCAGCAGCCGCACCCCCACCCCACCACCCTCCTCTCCCACAAATGGGCGACGAGGCCGCCAGGGCCCCGCAGACCAATGGGATGATGGCTGATGGGGCCCGATGGATGGATGGATAATGGATAGTGTGTCGGGGGTTCGTTCATTCATTCGATGCGGCAGTCGTCCTCGGGTGTGGCGTCTTTTCTGGGTCGTTTTGGGCGGATGCGTAGCTGCTGTTGGTCCTTTGTCGGGGCGCCCTGCTGCTGCTGGTGCTGGTGCTGGTGGTGGTGGTGTTCTGGTGTGGGCGGTGTCGGCTTAGTGGTATGTTTGGTCTTCTTGCCGGCCCTTTTGCCCTTTGTGGGTGGCAGGGGCGGTGGGCGGCCCTGAAAGAATACATACAGAAGTGGCTGGCCTTTTTGTGCGTGTAGTTTTTGAGTAGTGGTTTGTATGTACTTAATAAGTAAGGACATACAATTGCATGTGTGTGTGTATGTGTGTGTGTACCGTCATTTGGTCGTGAATCTGTGCGAATGTCATCCTCTCTTCGCCATCCCATACCAGCAAACGACGCAAAAGACCTACAAAACCTGATGCGTCAACAAATACACACATTATATGCACACACACCGCCATCTCTGCTCACGTTGGTCATGGCGTTCCTCGACCATGTCGAGCGTCTTGGCCACGCGCCTCTCCCACTGGACGAGAGGCAGAGTCTGACCCACACCCAACGTCTGCACATCCGCACACACACACGCACATGGTCCATCCAGCACTGCCCTGTCTCTCACCCTTAGCCCCCGTCTGTCTATCATGTCTGGAGTTGGCTTGGCTTGCCTCGTCGCGGAACAGTGGCGCCCGCATGTCGGCCAGTTGGAGGAAGACCAGTCCGAGGCAGAAGACGTCATTCTTGTGTAGGTTGAACCTCGCCAGCATCTCACTCGGCTCGGTGATGCCATCCACCACAACGGTCTGCCGACAATGAGAGAGGGACACCCGCCGAGATGTGTGTGTCTCGTGCTTGTTTGTCTGTTGGAAGATGTATGTATGACCTGATAGACCTCCGGGGCGACACATACAGGCCGGCGTGTGAGCTGCATCGTCACATCAGAGAACCAGCACTTCAACACCCCTGCACACTCACACATATGGGAGGAGCTTGTTCGCTTTGTGTCCCTCTCTGTTGTTGCGTGTAGAGGTCAGCATACGTGTGGGTATGAGGTCCTGCAGGAGCATGAAGTGGCCATCGTCCGCCAGGCCGATGCTCGACGGCCGGATGTTGCCGTGGATGAACCCCTCTCGCTCGAACCACGCCAAGCTGCATTTGTGTCGGCCGTCTGTCTGTCTGTCTGTCTGTTGTGTGTACGTTTCTATGAGTTGCTTTAGGTTGTGGAGCAGCAGCGTGTCGTTGAATGCGGCGGCGCACCGCTCGCCGCAGAGGGAGGATACCACGTGGCCCAACGTGCCGTTAGCCAGCCACTCACTGACACAAACACACAGCTCTGCTAGAGCGCGCGCGCGCGTGCGTGCGTGTGTGTGTGTGTGTGTATGTATGTAAAGACATACACACACGCATACCGGATGAGCATGACGCCCTCCACATCGGTGTGGCCCCTGTCGGCCCACGATGGGTGTGCCCGCTTCACCTCATACACACCCACCTGACTCGACTCGCACACGTGCCTCTGTCTGTCTCATCTTTGTGTCTGCCTGTGTGTGTGTCTCACCCACCCACTGCACCCACCAGCGGGTTGAGTGCGGCCTGGCATTTGTCGTGCTCGTACCGTTCCATCCACTGCTGCTCCTTCTCCAGCAGCTCATTCGCCTCGTTAATGATAGGCCGCATGTAGGCCGAGGCGTCCGCCTCAGAGAAGGCATAGCGCACACGCCGCCGATCGGACGCCCAATCATCACGACAATGCTCCACCTGACACACACACACAGAGGGAGGAAGGCTCATGCATGCCATGACTGTGGATGAATGGCTGGAGGTAATGGGATGCTTACGAGCTTGCCGATGTAGTATGGATTCGGAGGCGGCTTCTTCTCGTGTGCATCTTGAGCCTCAGCAGCAGCGGGCTGCTCCTGCTCCTTTGTCTGTTCCTCGGTGCCTTTGCCCTCCTTCTGCGCATGTTGATCTGGACCTTTCTCGGTTCCTTGCCCTTCTTCGGCCTTCTCTTTCGCCTCTTTGCTCTTTTCATTGGGCTTCTTTGTTGGCTTGCGAAACAGCGGGTCTCGCCTGGGGTTCCCTGGCAGCAGATAAGCGACCTTCTTGCCGTCGAAGCGGAAGAAGATCCTGCTGGCCTTCTCCCTCTCGGCCTCTCTTATCTCCTTCTTCTTGGCCTCCTCTTCAGTCGCATCTTTGTCTTTTTGTTTCTTGCTTCCCGTCTTCTTCTCTTCACTCTCCTTGCCCTGTGTCTCCGGCTTTCTTTCGCCTTTGGTCTTCTTGTCTTTTTTCGTCTTGTCACGCGCAGATGTTGGGGCAGGTGGCTCGGAAAACGCTGCACATGGTGCACACACAACACGTCTCCTCTCACTGGGGAGTGTGTGCAGCAAATGTCTTGCCTCACCTTCCTCCTCTTCTTCTGGTACCTCCCTCTCCCTGCCCCTAGGTTTGTATTGCTCCAGGTTGTCGAGCTGTGCGGCCATTTTTTCCAGCTCCTCAGTCAGTCTGTCTCGCCGCACCAGCCGCAGCCGGTGTCTCAGGCCCTCCTCGTCAGTCAGGTCGTCGAGGAGGTCGTCCATGTCATACTCCCCCTCATCCATCAGATTTTCATCCTGTATAGGATGCATGCAGCTGTAGATTGTGTGTGAGATGAGGGGTGAAGGGACTGTGTGTTGCTTACGGTGTCCTCCCAGAGGAGGGGTTCCGGCCCCTCGTCGGTCTCCTTCTTGGCTGCCGGCGGCGGCTTCTTAGCGCCCTCCTCGCCGCCTTCCCCACCTTCACCTCCCTCACCGCCCTCCTCGAGCTCTCCTTCTTCCCCCTCTTCGGCAATCTCTTTCTCTGCCCGCTTGGCTTCCTCGTACCTCTGAATATTCTCTTGCACCTGCTCGAGCTGCTCTGACAGCTCACCCCTGACACACAAACGTACAGCAACACACAAAGAGGAGGACACGTTTGGGCATGGCGACGAAAGATCGACGCCTGCCACATACATTTCCTTTTCGAGCTGTTCCATCGCTTCCTCGAAGTTGTTGTCTGACACACGCAGACAACCAACCATGTGTGTGTTTGCGTGTCGCATGGCTGTCCCATCACACGTACAGAGCATGTAGCCGTAGCCGTGGCGGGCGCGTGGCGTGTGGAGCAAGCGGACGAGGAACCAGCCGGGAGGGAGGGCGATCTTCTCGCCGTACAGCCCAAACGTCAGATCACTGGCAGCCAACGGGGCGCGCCGGGACATCATGCGTCGAGCGATTGCCCCCGGATCGAGGCCCCAAGGCGAACTGCGAAGGTGCAAAACAGCAAGGAGGACTGCCCGCTGCGTGGATTCGGGTGCCCTTTCAGATCTGCAAAGAGATCCGCAAAGAGCTTCACACAAAGAGGTAGCCCTTGGTCCACATCCACGGCAGAGCGCCGACACACAACACAACACAACACGGTCTCACAGTCTCATGCATTGCAATGCAAAGCGTAGCATACGGATTGGATGGCATTGCATGCTCGCACCGACTCGCCACAAACATCCACGAGGGAAGGGAGGCCCGAACCTGAGAAAAACCTTCGCTCGCCCCACATCGCACACACACGCACACACGGAACGAGAGCGTGAATTCCACACACGCATCATGCCGCACTGCACCTTCTTGCACTCGTAATTGGCATCGATCGCATCACTCTCACACAATCCACAACACTCACGAGATATACACGCAGAGGGGACGTCTTCGTGTTTGGCTCGCTGACTGACTGTCTGTCTGGCAGATAGGCATGGAATGTGATGCCCTCAGTGGCGGGTCCATGCCATGCGCGTGTGGCACACATGTACTGCATTAGATGCGACTGTGGATGGTATGTATGGTGACCCCCCGCGTCCTCTCTGCCTGCACGACGCAGAGAGAGGACAGGACCATCGCACGGCCGTGACTGACATGACACACGCGGCCGATCCCCGCCCGATGCACCCGCCCGAAGCATCCTCCTTGCCCTCCCCTCCCCGCCCACGCAGCCCATACACACACATACGGCGGAATTATCGACACATATCAGCCAGACAAGACAGCAAGGCAGGCAGGCAGGCAGAAAGTCGTGGACGACCAGTCAGTGGAGACCCCCCGGGATATATACACGCACTAGCTTACGCTGCACGAAAAAAATGCGACCAGTGGTGGACTGCTCGCCTCGCGAGCTTCATGCAATGCATCGGTGTTGTGTTGTGTAGCAGCCGACTTAACTAACCCACTTAAGCCCCTTACCCTCCTCTCTCTGAGCACCAGCCTACACAGCTCGGCCGCCCCTGTGCGCGCCGCTCAGTCACTCGACGGCCGTTCTTCTTACCTATCCACCTCACGCACTGCCAGCCCCTTTGGTACGAAGTGTTCACTGAGAAAGTGTCCGTGTCTCTCTCTCTCTCTGTCTGTCTCTCTGTCTGTCTCTCTGTCTGTCGCAGTCTCATGCAACCGCGCCCCGTGCAGGAAAAACCACAGCCACACACACAGCCATGGACACATCCACACACACATCCCCTCACACGCACCCCCTACGCACACACGAGATAAAACCGCCATGCCAGCTGCCTGCCACGGCGATGGGTGGGTGGATGGATGGCCCAAAAAGAGAGAGGACCTGCCTGCACATTGATCAATTAATCGATGAGCGAGAGAGACGACCGACACAAAAATAAGTGATCAGCGATCGGTCGGTCCAGGAAAAGGCCACACGGCACACCAACACAGAGAGGCGCATGCCATGCACATACAGACAAACATACAAACACACACGACACATAGACGTCCTCACGCACGCAAATGAGAATATATTTCCTGCCTGCCTGCCTGCCTGCCTGCCGTGTGTGTGTGTGTGTGTGTGTGTGAAGTCACCGTCGATCGGGCGAACCGGACATCCAGACGTCCCCTCATACGGACACGCACCCATCACCATAGCGATACCACACCACACCACACGCAGCGCCCACAAAGCGGGCACACCACACACACACGCCCTTCGGGCTTAAATTACCTCCCCTCCCGTCTCCTCCCTCAGCGCTAAACAGTCCGACAGACAGTCAGGCAAAGCGTTACGACACGACGGTCTTGCCAGGGATGTAGCCCACACTCGGCCCCTGATAAGCCACCTCAGCCCCGCCCCCCAGCTCCTCTATGGCCGCCTGGGCAGCTGCGAGGCGGGCCACTGGCACTCTGTATGGGCTGCATGAGACGTAGTCGAGCCCGATTCTATGGCAGAAGTTGACAGAGCGTCCCTCCCCGCCATGCTCGCCACAGATGCCCGTCTTAAGATTGGGGTTGCTCTGCTTGCCGCGGTCGCGCGCTATCTCCATCAACTCGCCCACACCGTCCTGACCACACACACACACACACACGCACACACAGATGGATGGATGGTGTCACCACACACACCAACAAGAAAGATTGACCAACCGACCTGGTCGAGTACGTCAAAAGGGTTGTTGTCGAGGATCTGTATCTTCTCCTGGCCCTCCCCGGGGTACTCCACCCCACTGATGTAGGCCGGCACGAAGTGGCCGCTGTCGTCGCGGCTGATGCCAAACGTCGACTGCGTGAGGTCGTTGGTGCCGAAGGAGAAGAACTCGGCCAGCTCGGCGATCTCTTTCGCCCGCAGAGCGGCCCGCGGCAGCTCTATCATGGTGCCCACTTTGTAGGGCAGCGTCATGCCGCTCCTCTCAAACGCAGCCTTGGCCGTCTGACAGATGAGTGATACAGCACACAGATGCAGGCAGACGAGATGTGGGCAGCCAGCGAATGCAATGCAGCTGTATACTTTACGTGTGTGTGGGTCTAGTGTGTCTGGCGTACGTACGTTGTCGATGATGGCCTTTTGGTGGCGGAGTTCGTTCTTGCTGGTGACGAGCGGCACCATGACCTCGGGCATGACCGTCTTGCCCTCCTTGGCCACCTCCACCGCCGCCTCAAATATGGCCTGGGCCTGACATGCAAGCCAAGCAGCCCAGCCAAACACACGACAGCATAGCATGTGTGGGAGTGGAGTGTGTGTCCTTCTTCCTTCCGTGTCTGTCTTTCTGTCAGGCCGCCGTGACCCATAGCTACCTGCATCTCTGTGAGGTACGGGAAGAGGATACCCAGTCTGCAGCCACGGTGACCCAGCTGAGTACCGACAGACAACACACACAGCAGGCAGCTTAGCTCACGGATGCTCATTGATCCCGCCTCTCTCTGTCTGCGTCTGTCTGTCTGTCTGTCTATGTGTCTGTCTGTGTGTCCGACCATGGGGTTAGCCTCTCGTATGGCCTCGCTGATGCGAAGGAGTTCCTCGAGGGGTGTGTCCATGGCGTCCGCCAGCTGCTGCAGCTCCTCCTCGTCGTGAGGCATGAACTCGTGGCGGGGCGGATCCAGCAAACGAATCTACATCAAACATACATAGCCACACACACACACACACACAGAAAGAACAAGGTGTCCTTCGGCAGTTGAGACATCCTGTGTGTGTGTATGTGTGTGTGTGTGTGTGTGTGGTTACTGTCGTGGGGTGTCCATCCATCGCGCGAAAGATCTCAACGAAGTCACTGCAGTGCAACACATCCACACACCACACAAGGAGAGCAGCGAGCCGTCGTATCATTCTATCACATCAATCGCCTCCCTCGGCTGCCTCTGCCTGCCTTTGCCCACCCGCCCTCCTACCTCTTCTGATACTTGAGCAGCATCGCGACAGCCTCTTTTCTGTGCTGCTCAGTCTCCGAGAAGAGCATCTTCCGCACGTCGGTCAGCCTCTCCTTGTCCATGAACATGTGCTCCGTCCGTGTGAGGCCGATGCCCTGCGCCCCCAGGGCCCGGGCCACCTCTGCGTCCCTGCCCGTGTCTGCGTTGGCGTGCACCCGGAGGCGTCTGTACTTGTCTGCGAGGGTCATGATGGTGTTGAACTGCTGGAAGGTCTTGCTCTCCTCGGGAAGCTTCGTCTTGTCGATCAACACCTGCGTCATGCCATCAATGTGTGTGCGTGTGGGGCCGGCTCCCTCCCTATGCGTGGGTGATTGGGTCTCGCTCACTGACCTGCAGCACTTCAGAGGGTGTGGTGTGGAGTTCGGCGAAGTAGACCTCGCCCGTGGTGCCGTCGATGCTGATCGGATCCCCCTCCCTCAGCACCATACCCGTCCCCTCCACACGCACAAAGTTCTCCTCACGGTTGTAGCGAAGCGACCCACATCCGCACACACACGGCTTGCCGATGCCCCGAGCCACCACGGCAGCATGGCTCGTCGACCCGCCGCGCATCGTCAGCACCCCCTCGGCCGCAACCATGCCAGAAAAGTCTTCTGGAGAAGTCTCCTCTCGGACAAGGACGCACTTGACGCCTTTGGCTTTCATCTCGACGGCTTTCTCCGTGGAGAAGACGGCCACGCCGGATGCGGCGCCGGGGCCGGCGTTGAGGCCTCGGGCGGCGAGATGGGGGGAGGCGCGCTTTTTCTCTTGTGGGTCGAAGACTGGGGCCAGAAGCTGCACCAACTGCTCTGGCTCGATGCGCTGACAAGAAGAAAATCGAAAACACACAATGAGGATGGGTGTTTGGCTGGCTGGCTGGCTGGCTGGCTGGCTGGTCGGTCTCTCTCCTCTCTCTGACCATAATGAGTTCCTTCTCGTCAATGAGCCCTTCGTTGAGCATGTCGAATGCGATGTTGATGGCCGCCAGCCCGGTCCTCTTGCCCGTCCTGGTCTGCAGCATGAACAGCCGCCCCTTGTCAATCGTGAACTCCAGGTCCTGCATGTCCCTGAAGTGGGTCTCGAGCTTCTGCGCCGTCTCCATCAGCTGCTTGTAGGCCTCGGGCATCGTCTTCTCCAAAGTGGGAAGGTCGGAGCCTGACCGCACCGCCTGCAGCTCATTCACGGGCTGGGGTGTGCGAATGCCCGCAACGACGTCCTCGCCCTGCGCATTGGGGAGAAACTCCCCGTAGAATCGCTTCTCGCCTGTGGAGGGATCGCGTGTGAAGCCCACACCCGTCGCCGAGTCATCACCCTGGCCACGCCAACCACACACACACACACACACACACACACGTGTTTGCAATCGATGCGTATCCGTAAGGCATCTGTGGCCCACCGACCGACCGACCTTGTTGCCAAAGACCATGGTCATGATAACCACCGCGGTCCCCCAGTCATCAGGATAGCCGTGGAACCGACGATACGCACCCGCCCGCTCGCTGTCCCAAGAGTCAAACACAGCCCGGATGGCGCGGACGAGCTGCTCACGAGGGTCGTCGGGGAAGGGGGTCCCGGTCGCTTTGAGCTTGAGAGCCTTGAACCGCTGGCAGAGCTCCTTGAGCGCGTCGGCTGAGAGGTCGACGTCTTGTGTGACGCCTTGCTCCTCCTTCATTTTCTCGAGCTCCTTCTGACACACAAAGAGAGACATTCATAGAAAAGGAGGGAGGGAGGGAGGGAGGGAGAGAGGGAGGGGTGTGTGGTGGTGGCTGGTGGGCTGTATGTGTGTGTGTGGTTGCCTCGAAGATGCGGGGGTTGACGTGCTCGACCACGTTGGAATACATGGTGATGAAGCTGCACACATCAAGACACAAACACACATGGCTTCTCTCTTCCACGATGCCTGGTTCCTCCCTCCCTCTCGCCCTCTCTGACGCCCTCGCGCACCGTCTGTAAGAGTCGTAGGCCAGCCGGCGGTTGTTGGTCTGTCTGGCAAAGCCCTCCACCGCCTCGTCGTTCAAGCCGAGATTCAGCACCGTCTCCATCATACCAGGCATCGACACTCTGACCCAGCCAAACAGCCAAACAGACGAACACACACAGACAGACAGTCGCATTGGTGTCAGTCAGTGTGTGGTGCCTCCCTCCCTCGCTCATTGCCTGCCTCACCGTGCGCCCGATCGGACTGCCACGAGGAGTGGGTTGTCGATGGAGCCGAACTGGGCGTTCATCTGTCGCTCGAGCACCTTCATGGCGGCCTCCACCTGCATGTCCAGCCCCTCGGGCATCGCCCTCTTGTTGTTGCGGTAGTACTTGCACGCCTCTGCAGACAATGCAATCAAATCAATCAGCACACACACACAGACATCAAACACCGCTTGCAATGAGTGCTTCGCTTCTTGTGTCATTTCTCTCCCTGACTGACCAGTGGTGATGACGAAACCCGGTGGCACGGGAAGGCCCATGTCGGCCATCTCGCTGACGCCCTTGCCCTTGCCGCCCAGCAGGTTCTTGTCCAGCGGCGGGGTGTCGCACCCATCACCGAAAGAAAACACATACCGCTCAAAGCCGTTCACCACATTGCCCACGCTGATCCCTGTTTCCTTCGTATTCGTATCGGGTGGCTCCGCCACGGCCGACTGCGCTGCTGTTGTGGATGGGCGGGGATGAGTCGGCAGGAGAGCGCCACGGACGCGCAAACGGGCGGCTGGCGCGACGAAGGCGACGGCGCCGCTGATGAAGGCGAAAGGCAAGAGGCAGCCAATCCTCATCATTGCAGACAGGAAGCACAGACAAAGATCAGCAGGGCAGGGAGATCTGCAAGCCGAGCTCGCAGTCGACAGGCGCGCAGTCGGGAAGAAGGTGGCAGCTCGATGCTGTGTGTGGTTGCTGCCCTTGCTCTCTTCCCCAGTCTGCTCATCTCTACAAGCGCTTTCAGGCTTCACATCCAACGACGTGCTTTCTGGAGGGCGGACAGACACTCATGGAGGCGGCGGAGAGGTCTACGGCACTTACTGCACATGACGGCACCGCCGGCAGATGACTCGTCAGCGGATCGGCCCAGACAGCTCTTCGATGACGTGAGGATTCCGGCGCTGCTGAGGGACCCGGTCATTGAGAAGATAGAGGAGATTGGCGGCGGCAAGGTGACAGAGGTCAAGGAGGTGACGCCTGGACCAGGTGAACCATGAGCGGGGGATTTGCACTGTGATGTGACATATGTTATGATGGTGAATGTGTGTGTGTGTGTGTGTGTGTGCGCGCGTCGCAGGTTTATTCAACCGTCATTTCCTGTACACCGCCACTGGGGGCACCTTCCTTTGTAAGCAGAACGAGCGCAACACCACCGCCAACTTCCGGTGCGAGATGGAATCACTCAACGCTCTGCGAAGTGAGTGATGAAACGATGAAACACACACACACACAACAAGCAGCAGATGCCCCATCATGGTTTGTCATGTGAGCCATCCGCCCTCCCCCTCCCTCTCTGTCACTTGACGCAGACACCCGCACCCTTCGTGTGCCCGAGTCTTTTGCCGTCGGCCATCTGCCCCTCGGCGGTGCGTTCCTTCTCATGGAGCACATCCAGTTCGTCCCCTTCGGCGCGTCGATCCCTTCCACACTCGCCAAGCTTGGCGAGCAGCTCGCCCAGCTGCACATGATGCCGTGTGGCAACGACAGGGGGGTGGGCAAATACGGCTGGACGTCACATAACTTCCTGGGCGGCACCATCCAGGTGATGGATGCGGTTCAAGAGATATCACACGCGACTGAGTGTGACTGTGTGTCTGTGTCTGTGGCTGCGCTGTCTTCTTTGCTTTGCAGGACAACACGTGGCGGACCAGCTTCAGGGATTTCTGTATCATGAACAGGCTGCTGCCCCTCTACAATGAGGCCAGCAGAAGGTTCGCGTGTCCGGCCGCCGACGACGGCATCGAGCGGTTCGGGCCACGCTTGTTCGAGAGAGCTGATGCGATCCTCAGCGAAGTGGATCAGACCACACCCTCTCTGCTGCATGGAGATCTGTGGCTGGGCAATTGTGGGGCTGACAGCGACAGGAACCCCGTGGTCTACGACCCGGCTTGCTGGTCGGGCGCAGCCGAGTTTGATCTTGCCATCTCCACTCTGTTTGGAGGCTTCGGACCGGCATTTTATCACGCTTACCACCACCACCTGCCCCAGCAGCCGGGCTTCCACCAGCGGCAGCAGCTCTACCGCCTGTACCACCTCTTGAACCACCTCAATCTATATGGCAAGGGATTTGGCTCTAGCGGGACGGCCAGGGACCCACAAGGCTATTATGAGAGGGCGAAGCAGCTGATGAGGGAAATTGTGGCGGGAGGGTGATGTGATTTGCCGTCGAGTGGGTTGGGTGATCAATCGGGTAGTGAGTGTGCTGAATATAAGAGGGGCATTTCGGTAGGAGGGCAATGTGTGTGTGTATGTCGATTTTTGTGTCTTGAATGCAAGACGATGGGACAAACTGGTTGGTAGCAGCGCACAAGTGAGTCATTCGACGCACGCAGCGATGGACATTTCATGAAGGAGTCTGTCATGGGATGGGTGCGGTGGAGTACACTGGATCCACACGCACACACACAGCGCTGTACAAGCAAACACATGCGTCGGCTCGGCTGCATACAAGCCGTCACAACATGCAAAGCTTAGTGCAAAGGAATGTTCTTCTTCTTCGGTTTCTTGTTCTCTGCTACGGCCGCGGCTTGGTCGAGCTTGCGCTTCCTGTGCTGCTGCACGCGGCGGGTGTACTCCTCGTCCGGCTCATCCGGCTCACGCGGCACCTCGGGATCCTCGGGCGCCTGATGCACAGGCTCCGTCGAGCTGCTCGCCGCTGCCGCTGCCGCTGCCACACCTTCACCACCCACACCCACCCCCTCCTCACCCTCCTCGATCTTGATGCCCACCGACGCCTGGTGCTCACCAACGTCGCTGTCCACCATGGCATCCGCCGGCTGCCACACCTGCTGCACGAAGGCCGTGTAGCGGTTGCTCGCGGCGGCCGTGGGCACACACGCCTTGGGGAAGGGCGACTCGATGCGATAGGTCTCGCTGAGAATGCCTGGCTTGAGGGGTCGCTGGGCGGCGTCCACCACGTGCTCCCTGAAGACGTCGGCGTCGTCTCCTCGTGTGTGTGTGTGGGAGGCGGCGCGGACCTCATTCACATGGGCAGTGAACTTGGAACGGGCCACCTTGGCTGGGTCGGTGGAGAAGGGGGCATCCTCGCCAGCAGGGTGGGCGCTGGTGCTGGGTGGTAGGTGTGGGTAGAGGTAGGCCGACCAGAAGGGCTTGATGAGTGTGGCCGTCAGGATCTTCATGGAGCGCTTGGCATCGAGTGGGGTGAGGGTGAAGGTCCAGACGAGCGAAGTGTCGCCGCCTCCGGGGAAGCACTTGAACTCGAGATCCAGCAGCGATGGGGACGTGTGTGTGTGGACCATGGGGGGGAAGGACTTGCAGCTGCACTGGGTGCGCGGCTGCTTGTCGGCCATCAGCAGGGACAGCTGCTGCAGCATCACGTCAGCCCCCAAACCGGGGTAGCCACTCATGCCCTGCACAGTCACACAAACACACAACCAACACCATCCAAACACACATGTGGGGTGCGCCCCGCCCCTCACACCTCTTGTCGTGCAGTGCACCTCCTACCGTTTTGCTTTGTATGGTGGCCTTGTCGGCCTTGCAGCCGAACAGATACGTGCCCTGCGTCACCTGCAGATGCGATGCATGGACAGACCGACCAATGAAGAATAAGCCCATGGGCCCATGAGTCAGTCAGTCGGCCTGGCAGGCCCACCAGGCCTACCTACCTACCAGCAGGGCGTATGTGCACGAGTCGGCATCTACGTAGAACTTCAGGTACAAAGGCACCTGCAGAGAACACACCAACCAGTACACAACCCCATGCAGCGTCGCCTTGCCGTCTGCCGAGAGATGGATCTGGCCCACCTCACCTTGCCGTCTGTCGGGGAGGTGAGGTGATGATTGACCCATTCGAGTATCACATGCGCACACAAGCAGCAGCATCGAGATACCTACATCGCTGGCTCTCGCAGTGCCTGCATCCGTGTCGTCGATTACCTACCGAGTGTTATCCATGGGAGAGGCGCCAGCGCGTCGTCGAAGCGAGAGGGCAGCTCCGAGTCCTTGGTACTCATGGCGAGTCTGCTCAAGTGGACCAGAAGGGGACGAACACTGCCGGAGAAGCGTAAGAAGACGGGTCCGGGTCGTTTACCTATCGCTGTGAGAAGAGAGTGCGTTGAATGACGTTTTTGGCGTTAAGGTAACGGAAAGCGACCAGATCGTCTGATCTCGAGATGAATGAATGACGTTTCACAAAAACCCTGTTTCCTAAGCTCAACGCAAACCCCTCACGAAGTGAGCCAGATGGCGCCTGTGGCTGAGGCACCTCCCGAGGCAGCTCGTCGGCAGATAACAGCCGTCTGCAAATGCAGTCAATGGCGACGGCTAACAGCCACGATCTTCGCCATCTTGGCTCATCTTCTCCTCTTGCCGCCAGCGGCACACTGCTTTCAGCCTCCTCTCCTCAGGTGGCCGGCGCCACACTCACGGCATGCTTCATCGCCAGCATCTTTCGACCCGCCGTCAGCGCCGAGACGAAGATTGGCTGCTGACGGGAGGCGGCTGGGTGTGTTGGATGCGGCAAAGGACTTCAAAGGCTTTGGTGACAAGCCGCCCAAGCCCGTCAAGAAGGGCAAGAAGGACAACGATCTCGACCCTGAAGTATGATCGAGCAACCAGTCAGAAAACGATGGGCATTGATTCACTCTCTGTCTGTCTGTCTGTGTGGTGGTGTTTGGCTGTGCTGTGTGCAGGCTCAGAAGTATGCCAAGGCGTATGACGAGCTGGCCGCCAAGGGCATCCCTGAATACGCCGTACGTGACGCAGCATGAATGGCCGGCCGGCCGCACATGATGGATGGATGGATTCCAGGCAGGCAGGCAGGCAGGCAGGCATGCCCCTGGGTGTGGTGTCCTCTGCACCATTCATTCGCTTGACGTCTGTGTGTCCATCCGTCAGGTGTGGGCTCGTCCGAAAGGTCTGCCTGACGAGGCGTGGGTGCCGGTGGGGTCTATGGCCGTCCCCAGAAAGATGAAGATCGATGACGTCATATACAAGGAGGAAGAACAGATGAAGAAGGTCAGTCAGTCACGGCGCTCGCCTCGCCCGATAAGCCCGTCTTTCTTTGTGCCCATATGCTCGTGTGTCTTCTTGTGCGTCCCTCGCCTGATGTACTGATACATGTATCAGGGTCTGTTCAAGCTGTATCCGAAGCTCAAAGAGTCGCCCGAGGGCGGGGAGGCCGAGTTCGAGTACGGCTACAACCTGAGGGCATACCCTGACGAACCTGTCAAGGTCAGGTCTCACCCACTCACACAGGAGCGCAACGCCTCTCCCTAGCCCCACTCAACTAAATCATCCCTTTGGTTGTGTGTGTGTGGATGAGGCAGGTGGCGAAGAAGCCCCAGGGCGGGGAGAAGAACGAGTTTGTGCAATGGTTCGAGAGTCTGATGAACCCTCTGGACGCGTCCAAGGCCAAGGGGGGCGATGCCGCCATCAACATTGGCAAGAACTGAGTGATTGATCGGCCATCAGTCGTCGGGGGGAAGAGAGAGGGGAACGGGCAGGGCAGCCTGTTGTGTTTCTTTATGTAACTGTGCATCGCTCCGCTTGAGAGTGACGAACAGTGAGTGGACAGGGTGTGGTGTGTGTCACTCTGCAATGCACTGCATGCCGCGAGCCTGACCCATCCAAAGATCTAGGTGCGTGCAGAGGGAAAAGGCGTCTCTGCAGAGTGGGACGGAGCCTTCCTCTGCCTCCTCCCTGATTAGCTCGCAGTGGCAGGCGATCCAGTGCCATCCTGCCGCGCCAGAGCCAGAGTGAAGCAAAGGCATCAGGATCTGTGGCTGAGGGCGCGAGGATCACACCATGAGTGTCGTCGGCATAGATATCGGCACATCGGCGTGCTGCATCGCCGCCCTCAAGTCGGGCGCCGTGCACATCGTCAGGAATGAGATCAGCGAGCGACTCACGCCGTAAGTTTGACACACAGACGGACAGTTGCGCAGGGCAGCGTGCCGTGCAGCCACAGATCTGCGTGTCTCGTACCACATCAGTACTCTACGCACTCTCGGCTCCGGTGGTGTGCCCTGTGTGTGCTGTGCTGTCAGGTCTGTGGTGGGGTACACGGACCAGGAGCGGCTCGTCGGCGATGTGGCCGTCGCGCAGGTAAACCGAGCTACCTGAGGCAGACACAGGAAGACGCAGCAGCGTTGAATTGACGTGCTGTGTGTCTCTGTGTGTGATGTGGTTGTGTGTCAGATCAAGTCCAATTTTAAGAACACGTGTCGCAACATCAAGCTGGTGCTGGGCCGCTGCAATGACGACCCCGACATCGCCCGCGAGAAGCAGTTCGAGCTGGCAGAGATCGTACCCACCGACGACGGACTCGTCGGCTTCAAAGTAAGCACGCCACGCTCGCTGACCGCGCCGGCTGGCCACTCTGCACTGCACACAAACGTCCCTTGCGTTGTCCGTGTCATGACAGGTGAACTACAAGGGGGAGGAGCGTGTGTTCACTGCCAGCCGTGTGTTGGCGGCATTGCTCAACAGGCTGCGCGAGATCGCCGAGAGGGACGCTGGGACGGCGGTACGCGACGTGGTGATTGGCATCCCGGGGTGGTACACCGACATGCAGCGCCGCGCCGTCATGGATGCCGCCGAGATCGCCGGACTCCACGTGCTCAGAGTCTTCAACGAACACACTGCCAGTGAGCTGAGCTACACTGACAGACATGCCGACAGGAGGAGGGCACGCGTCTGTGTGTGCGTGTTGACTGATTGGTCAGCTGCCCTCGACTACGGCATTTATCGGTCTAACACCTTCTCCGAGAGCGAACCGTCCAACGTCGCCTTCGTCTGCATGGGTAAGCGAAGCGACCCGATCGCCTCGCCACACACCACACAGACATACAGACAGACAGACAGACATACAGACAATTGTATTGCCTGCTTGTGGGGTGTGTGTGTGTCTGCATGATAGGTCACGGCATCACCTATGTGACAGTAGCTGAGTACGTCAAGGGTCAGGTGAAGATCCTGTCTGAGGCCTCCGACCGGCAGCTGGGCGGCAGGGACCTCGACCACATCATCGTCGAGCACTTCGCGGCCGAGTTCAAGGTGTGCTAGCAGTCGTCACGTGTGGACAGACGGACACGCACCCATCCCTCCCTCCACCCATCCCTTGTGTGTCTGCGAATGGTGTGTGCAGAAGAAGACGGGCATGGACATAATGGGCAGCAAGAAGGCACGCCTCAAGTGAGCCAGCCACATGCCAATGCCACACACACGCGTGGAAACGGTCGACGAGGTGTCACATCTATGGCGTGGTGGATGTGTGTGTGTGTGTGTGTGTGTGTGTGAAGGATGGAGGATGCCGCGACAAAGACCAAGAAGATCCTGTCGGCCAACCAGGAGGCGCCCTTCAACGTCGAGTGCGTCATGGAGGAGGAAGACATTCACGGACTGCTCAAGAGGTCACAGATGCCCACCACACAGACAGACCAACGACGCGAGCACACAGACAACCACACTCATGTGTGTAAGTGTGTGTGTGTGTGTGTGCAGGGGTGACTTGGAGAAGTTGTGTGAGCCTCTCATCCCCCGGCTGCAGCAAGTCATGGAAAGGGCACTCGCCGCCAGCAGTGAGCGGAGCAAACGGCCTGTCTCACACACACGCATACCGACCGACGCGCCTCTGCACTCTTTGTGTCTGTCTGCGTGTGCCTTTCTTCCTTTGTGTGTTGATTCAGATCTGTCGCTGTCTCAGATAGCGTATGTGGAGATCGCCGGCGGCGGCACTCGAGTGCCGTGGGTGCAGGAGTGCATCAAGCGGTTCTTCCAGAAGGAGGAGCTCAGCAAGACACTCAACGCAGACGAAACCGTCGCCAGAGGATGCGCACTCATGGTCAGACAGACAGACAGACAGGCATCTCCCCCGGGGGCACCACGCCGATCTCTCTGTCTGTGTGTGTCAGGGTGCGATGATATCTCCTGCGTACAAGGTTCGTCCCTTCAGTGTGCATGACGTCACGTTCCACCCGATCAGCATCCGGTGGCAGCAGTCGGGCAAGGAGACCGAGGCGCCCATGGACGACGAGGCAGCAGGACAGCAGACCCAGCAGCAGAACGGGGTCACCGGCACCGGGTGCGTGTGACCGATACACAGACCACGTTACAGGGTCTATCTGCGTGTGTGGGGTGGGTGTGTTGTGTGTGTCAGCACCAAGTCGTCAGAGTTGTTCCCCTGCAAGTCGACAATGGGCAGCACCAAGAGCCTCACCTTCATGCGCTCCAGCCCCTTCGAGATTGAGGTCTTCTACTCCGAGGAGAAATCCCTCCCGCCCGGCGTCCCTGTCGACCTCGGTAACTACACACACACACAACCGTCCCCCGCCCTGTGTGTCCATCTGTGTCTGTGCGTCTGTGTGTGCCCACCCACGTGCAGGGAAGTATCACATCAAGCTGCCCGAGAGCGGCGGCGAGAAGCAGAAGGTCAAGATCCGCGCCAAGCTCGACAACGACGGCATCTTCACCGTCGAGTCGGCACAGCAGTACGTCGAGGAGGAGTACGAGGAGACCGTCAAGCAGAAGAAGCCGCAGCCCACACCGCCACCACCGCCCCAGGAGGTGCCACGCCAGGCGGCCGAGGGGGGAGACGGGGCGACCGCCACATCCACCACTCACGAAGGTCAGTCAGCCGAGCGAGAGCTTCGTCTGGGTGTGTGTCGTGGATGCATCTCCTCTCTGTCTGTCTGTCTGTCTGTCTGTCTGTGCGGGCTGTGTGTGTGTATGTGTGTGTATGTGTCTGTGTCGACCGACCAGCAATGAAGGACGCCGATACTGGTGACGCAGCAATGAAGCAGGACGGGGTGAGTGAGGACATATGCACTGCACACACGTCAGACAGAGAAATGGATGTGCTCATTGCTCCTTCGCTCGCGTGTGTTGTCAGGATGTGCCCAATGGCACGGCGGCTCAGGGGTCGTCGGAGGGCGGACCCGCAGCCATGGACACAGAGGACAGTAAGAAGGAACCAGCAGAGTGAGTGCGAAAAGGCACACGCCAGACCACACCTCAGCCACCACACACGTGTGCCGTTCACTCACTGTGTACTGCGCAGGGAGTGGGTGGAGGTCAAGCAGAAGAAGAAGCGCACCCGCCGCACCGACCTGCAGGTCATCACCGCCGACAGGAAAGGCATCGTCCCTGCCAGGAAGGTCAAGGTAAGTAAGCCGGCACATCCACATCACAACACACCACACCGCACCATCCACCCACGACGTGTGTTGTGTGGAGGGCGGTTGTGTTTCAGGATTACCACGAGGAGGAGCTCAACATGCGCAACGACGACCGCATTGTGGCCGAGACCCGGGAAAAGATGAACGAGCTCGAGTCCTACGTCTACAGAATGCGCGAAAAGATCACCGACTCTCTCAAGGAATTCGTCGAACCCGCTAAAGCGGTAGGGACGAAGAGAGGGAGGGAGGGAGGGAGGGAGAGGAGACACATGCAGTGCAGGCCAGGCGCATGTGTGACGGTCACCCGCGCGGAGCTCCGTGCACCCACCTGTTTGTTTTTGTGGATGGTGTGGCTGCGGTGTTGTGTGTGGTTCGATTCAGGCGTCACTGCAGGAGTACCTGACCAAGACGGAGGACTGGCTGTACGACAACTGGGACGCCGCAAAGTCCGTCATCGTCGGCAAACTCGACGAAATGACCGTATGTTATGTCCCACCCACCACACTAACACTACACCAGCCCACCCCAGCCCAGCCCAGCCTGTGTGTGTGTGCTGCCCTCCATTCGTTGGTTGATGATCAGGGACTGTTCTCCCCGATTGAGAAGCGGTTTGAGGAGCATTCGGGGCGCACCGAGCAGGTGCAGATCTGCTACGCCAACCTGCAGGACTTCCGCACCGCCGCCATGTCGCCCGACGACCGCTACGCCCACATCGACCCCGCCAAGAAGCAGTCAATCGTCAACGAATGCGACGCTATCGAAAAGTGGCTCAACGATATGGTATGGAGGGAAGGCAGCCATGCAGACACACACTGAGAGAGAGGGTGGTGGGGGGCCGTTGTGGCGAGATTCGCACACCTCTGTGTGTGTGTGTGTGTGTTCAGTTGGCCAAGCAGGAGGCGTGTCCGCTGTTCCAGGAGCCATTGCTCAAGGTCGCGGACATCACTGCTAAACAGCAGGTGAGCACACAGACCCTACACACACACACACACCATCACAAACCAGCGGAAAGTACTGTACTGGTGCTGTGTTCCCGTGTGTGTCTGTCATGTCAGGCGCTCAACGAGATGGCCACCAAGATCCTGAGCGAGCCCAAGCCAGCACCCCCACCGCCACCAAAGCCAGACAACCCAGGTGAGTGAGCCAGACAGACCAAAGACATTTGCCAACCATGGCAGGCTGCGACGCCTTCCTTGTTGTTTTGTCATTCAGAGAATGACGCTGAGATGGGCGGCACGGGTGAAGGGGCGGCAGACGACAGCGCTGCGACGGGTGAGGCTGCCGCCCCAGCCCAAGACAATGACGCCAACATGGAGGGCGGGGGCGCTCAGGCGTGAGCCAGTGAGGGAGTGGTGAACGGGTCAGTCAGGTGAACCAGCAGTGGATAGACAGACAGACAGACATGTGCTCCGTGCCTGAGTGTTCGAGTCTTGGTGCTGCATGGCATGGCTGGGGGACCTGGGCGGGGCGCATGTGTGTGTGTGTATTGGTGTGTGTGTGGGGTTTTGCCCTCGAGGACGACACTCGACGGGAGGGGGGGGGCTCTCCGTTCGTGTGATTGATGTTTAGAAACAATCCCATCCACAGGATGCAGCCAGCAGCCACCAGTCAGCTGCCTGCCTGCCTGCCGTGGGGGACATGACAGCTAAGCTAAGGTAAGGTAGCCATCAACCAGCCAGCCAACACCGACATAGATGAGTTTATCTCAAGACACCTACCTACTGACTCACTTAGGTACGAATGCATTGCGTGCCCGTGTTGTTTGTGTGGGTCTGTCTGTCTGTGGGAATGCATAAATGTGGTCCATCTATCCTATCGCTGCGTGTGTGTGAGTGAGAGTGTGAGTGTGTGTGTGTGTGGCTCCTCCTTGATAACCAACGGGGGAAAGGAGGCGGCCACACACACCACACCACACCACACCGGTCCTCCGGTCCTCTCTGGTCTGTCTGTCCGGCTGTCTCTGGCCCTTTCTAAACTCTGTGTGCGTGACTGTGGGTGGGATCCATGAGCCACTCACTGTGTCCATGTGTGTCCGTGCAGTGCAGGTGCGGCGTATTGCGTGCGGGCTTCGAGCGGCTGCGCGCCTCGCCGTGCCATGCCATCCCTTGCAGTGAGTGCCTGGCCATGACGTGGACGGACGTTTTGATGCGTGTGTGTGCGTGTGAGACACTATCAACCCACCCACTCACTATATCCTTAACTTGGTGCTTTCTTGACCTTCGCCGCAGAGAGACGGGGCTGAGCAGCACAGCACATGCCAAGAGCTCTCTCTGAAAAGCTCAGCGCAGCCCCTCACCATGTTTAACAAATACATGCATACTTGTGTCGTCAGCCGCGGGCCATATGGGCCACACAGCAGCTTCGCTGAGGGGCTGTGAGGTGGCCGGCTGGATCTATACCACCTCACGTAAGTTCCTGTCTGTGCAGTGTGCGACATTGAGCGTTGCTTGCTTGATGCGGTTGGTTCAACGTGTCTATCTACCTTAGTCCAAAATATGAAAAGGTCGTCGAGCTAAGAAGAAGGTCAAGGAGGAGAAGAGAGATCTCTTGTCTGTCTGTCACAAGAGGCAATCGACCTGTAACAGACCGATCCTCCCTGCCAACGACCTAGACCAGGCCCCACTAAACTGAACCATGCCCTTCTGTGGCAAAAAGACCGCAATTGCCTTCATGCCGCGCACACCACCTATCTATCCACTCGCCTCACACGGCCGTGTATCCCCCATCACAGGCGATGATAGCGCCAGTCGTCCACGAGGCGCCCGGGCCGCACAGAAACGTAACCACACTCGCCACTTCTGACGGCACCTGTTGGTTGACACCCACACATAACATAGCCACGTCACATCACACACAAGCGCCCCGCAAATGACCGCATTCCATGCACCTGTCTGTGTGGCGTCTCATCTATCTCATCTGCTCTCTCCGTCTCTCCTCAGTGACCCACCCCCATTCGTGCGAGCGGGTAGACGTTCTTGATGTTTTGCTCAAAGGCCTCTCGTCTCTCGGCCGGCAAGGCCCCCAGGTTCCGCTGCACAAGCGGCGTATCCACCGTACCCGGCGCAACACAGCTGAATGAAAGCAACGAGGGAGGCCACCCACACCAATACCCAGACAACCAACAATCACACACAACGAGTGATTGGAGGCAATCAGGAGCTCTCCTGCTGTCCTCTCCGTCGCTCACTTGATGCGGATGCCTCTCTTCCCGAGTTCAAGTGCCCATGATGTCGTCATTCGCTCCACTGCGGCTTGCACATCTGGTACACCGTCGCACACACCCCAGCCCCCTTTCTGGCGTGATACGAGGAGATGTTGACCACAGAGGCATGGGCGGACCGCTGCAGCCGTGGCAACAGCTTCTGAGTGAGGAAGTAGGGCGACGTCACGTTGAGCTGCATCTGGGTGTTGTAGCTGTCCGCCGTGACGGCGTCGATGGGCTGGAAGACGGCCGTGCCCGCGTTGTTGACCAGGATGTCAACAGAGTCCACACCATCGCTTTCCAGCGCCTCGATGATTCGGTCTGACCAACCAGCGCAGGTCCATGTGTGCAGGAGTCCGTTTGCAGCACACCACACCTGGTCCGGATGGATCTGCAAGGTCACATGAGAGCATCTTCATCTCACATTCAGCACCACCCGGCAGGCTCCTCAGCGCGTCACGCGCCCTCTCAAGCTTCCCCCTGCAAAAAGATCGACAAGGCAGAACACAGTTTGTCGACATGCCATGCGCTGCCTGCTTCGTTCCGGTGCCTGGCGTACTCACTCATCGCGTGCAATCAGAAGCAGCCACGTGACTCCCTCGCCGACGAAACTCTCGGCACAAGCATAGCCGATGCCTTCTGAGGCTCCAGTGACGATGGCCGAGCGTCCCTTCAACGACATCTGCTCCTTGCGAGGCGAGATCTTGCGGCCGACTCTTGACAATCGGCGTTCCCTCCTTAGGCGAGAGATGAACCGACTCACGTGCCTCAAGCACAAGCAGCAGGGCCTGAGAGCAGGACCAGAAGATCAGATGGATTCATCTCATCTCGTCGGATCCATCGCAGTGGCTCTTACCCTGCCGTGGGACCAAAGCTGCGGAAAACGGGAGCCGTCCTCTAGTGACCGACAAGCCTGAGCCGCGAACAAACATCGTTGCTGAGGATGAGGCTGACAGCAGGCGGCAGGGGTGCGAGCTCAAATTGATGGTAGGAATTCCTATTCCACCGCAGCCGCCCTGTCCCACTCCTGGATTCTTCGTGCAGACACGACAATTTCGCTTGAGACGTGTGTCGCAGTATGATAGGGCAGTGCGTTAAACGATCGCCGACGTGTTTTGATCCAGAGCTCGGGCACATGCAACCAGAAAACGACAACGACAAGGTGAGCCAAACACAGGCAAAGAAGTGGGAAGGAAATGAAAGCGTGACGTGACAATCATGCCCTTTTCTGTGCGTGTGCTTCGCCGGATGCGAAGATGGACGCAGGGGAGCCTGGAGCTGACGGCACCTCAGCGGCCGCCGACACCGTCAGCTACATCAGAAATGCCGATGGACCGCATCCACCATGTGCTGCATTAAATTTGTGTGTACACCCCCTCTCCTCATGTCATACTTACCCCCCATGATTGAGTTGGTGATTTCTCGGCTGTTTCTCCTCCTTTTCGGATGAACGAGCGTGTATCGGACTACACCCAACCCCCTCCACCT